GATGGTGGACGGTGGTGGTGGTGGACGGTGGCGGTGGACGGTTGTGGTGGTGAAAAGAAGTAGAAAAAAAAAAGAAGATGTTAGAAGACATTGGTTAATGTCTTCTCCAAGAAGATGCCAGGAAGACCTTTTTGAGTGAAATGTCTTCCAAAAAACAAACAATCTGCAGAGCCCATCATCTGCGCGCGTCTGCGCGGCGCAGACAAAAGACGCCAGAAGGTCTTCTGGCAGAAAAGCAAACACCCTCTAAGTCACTCTTGTCCATGACTGCAATAATGGCTAAAAAATAATCTCTCCCTCACAAATCAAATTACATTTTTATTATTCATAGGATCAAATTTTATTACTTTTTTTTAATATTTTTGTTAGTCATATGATAAAATAATATAGTCGATCTTGTCATCAGTAGTTTTGAAAATCTTTTAATTTAGTTTTTTTAAATATATAATTTTTATTTTTTAATTTTATACTATTTTTCATCTAAAATAATTTGAGAATAACTTCAGTCAAAATCTTAAACCAAAATAAGTGATTTAAATTGGGACAAAGGGAGTAGTACAAATTCTAATTTCCAAAAATAAACATGTTAGGGATACACCAAATTTGACATTATCGTTTCTGAGTGTTTCTTTGGTGCACCTTGGGTGCATATCATTTTTGTCTACCTTCTCACATTATTTTTTTTATTTTTAAATTTTTAATTAAAATAAATGCTTATTAAGGTAGTTAAAATTTACTTATTTGCATTATATATATATAGGTCCATGATAGAGCTAATTTCTCATCGTTTTTATAGTATTAAGCATTTACAAACACGGAAGAACGTTGAATGTCTATAACGTTTGCAAGAAGGATGATGTAAAAAATGGTGTAAAAAATGTTGTACAAATAACACCTTTCAAAACAAAAAACTAATGCAATGTGGAAAATTGAAAACACAATCACCACTTTTATATTATTCTATCAATACATATTTTCATAGTAATTCTTACATAGTCATATCGCTATATATTTTAAGTTTTTTTATTGGCGTGAAATCCTAGACTTGATTGGTTAAAATAAAATAAAATTTATTGTGGAATATTTCACATTATATAATTATCTTTTCACTCCCACTTTTGGAAATAACATTAATAACAAAAATATCCAGAATTCACCTTAATATGGAGTATCTCATTTAATAACTCTTTCTCATTTATTGTCTAAGTTGGACATTTTCAAACTTGAGAGGGAGTCTTAGCAGATTTATTGTTGTTTATTGTTAATGAGTTTGTAATGCCGTGTTTAATGAAATTAGTTTAGGTATGTTTGTATAAAACTCTGCATAAGGAAGTTACAATTAACATAATTTAACCTAGGAAATTTGTAATGTCACACCAATAAAAAAACATCATTTCGTGACACTAGTGGTTTTGGGGCATTTACGGTGATCTATTCATAAAATTAATTGTTCCTACATCCTAAATCCCCGACCCATAAATTTCACCCCATCCCACCCCACCCCCCTGCACCCCTCTAGATTGCTGATTTGGGGCCCCAATCGGTGATCTGGAGGGGGAGGCTGGGGTTGGGGTGAAATTGATGGGTGGAGAGCTAGAGACCATCAATTTTGCGAACAGAACACCGTAGGTACTCGAAAACTACTGGTATCATGATGTTATACTATTGAAGTGGTGTAACATTACAGGTTCTCTTTAACTTATTTGGTGTAAAAGAAGAGAGTATATATTGTAATGATCACACAAACGCTAGACACAAAGGCCCCGTTTGGCATCACCGGTAGCTATTAGCGTTAGCGTTTTGAAAAGGCTATCCGACGGTAGCCTTTAAAGTTAGCGTTTTTAAAATTAATCTACACTATTAAAATTTTATCCAAAAGACTAATACTAATCAAAAACGATGTTCCCAAACAAAGTTATAGTTTAGAGGTGATATGAGGGATAAACTTTGTTGATTTTTTGGTGCAAAGTTTTGCTAACTTGCACACGTTGTTGGTTTTTCCACTATTGCCTTGACTTTTCTTTTTTTGGTTTGGGTTTTGTTTTTGTTGGCATAGACACCTTTTGGTTTTAACTTTTAAATTTTGGGGGGTTGTCTTTCCAGGGCACTTTTGATGGGAAAATAGGCATAAATTTGGGCTTTCTTAATTTTTCTACTTTGGACTTTTTACTCAATTTGCCATCAGGCAACTTTTGGTTTTTAGGTTTTGGGTTTTGATTTGTCTTTCCAGGACACTTTTTTTAGTGGGAACCTACGCAAAAATTTGGGCTTTCTTAGATTCTTTAATGATGGCCACTTTTGCCTACATTTCGAAATTCCGAATGCCGGTTAGAATTTTGTAACTTGACATGAATTTTTTTTCAAAAAAAATTATGTTATCGCAAGTGTTGTAGATGAGAGAAAAAGACTACGAGCCACAGAAAAATATTCCCTCCATTTCACAATACTCTATCGCTCTAATTTTTTACATATTCCATAAAACACTTGTTTCTCACATGTAATGTCTTAATATACCTCATTACGTAGTTTCTTGCGGATAGAAGTTGTTTTAAAATTATTTTAGACATTTAAAGCGAGACAAAAGTATATTATGATGTGTGGAAAAAATTAGGACAATATAGTTTTGTGAAAGGGATGGAGTAAATTGAAATGAAAAGAGAATTTTTTGGACATGCTGATAGAATTTAGGATTGGGTAGAGATAACTGAATTAGGGAATAAGACACTTGGATGAATCATATTAAAAGATTGATTCCAATCTGTAGAAATTAATAAGAGAGAAAATAGTTTGTATATTGAATTGTTCTTGTGCTTACAAAGGTCTAACCCCCTTTATATAGGAAGAGAGTAAAGCATTTAAGTAAACTTTTATTCCTACCATATTTCTATTCCTACTATAACAAGAACTAAGCAAACTAGGAAAGATACTAAACCGAATCCCAAAGGGATTCAGTTTTCTTCTTTGATCCGGCTTCCTTCTTCTGTCGCCAACACCCCCCCTCAAGCTGGAGCTTGGGAGTTCAACATGCCCAGCTTGGACATCAAAAGATTGAACAAAGCAACAAAGCTTGAGGAAGCCGCTGCCATCGTTGTCCAAGTGTCATCTAGACACTTCAGTTTTTTTTCTTCAACGGAAACGCTAAGCTTTTCGAATCCGCCGAATAATCAGCCGAGTAAAGGAACGCCATTCTTTTCGAACATTCACCGTATTCGAACAAACAGGGGGAACGCCATTCTTTTCGAACACCCTGAACGCCGACTTTTTTTTATTGCCTGCTAAGGAAAGAGTTTCATGTTTCTGTAAAACAACCCTTCTCGGACAACTTCAAGATTGATGGTTGGGCGGGATTCTTCGACAGCAATGTTTTTCGTTGAAGGAGTTCATGATATTCTTTAGTGAGGGAGAACAATCAAAGAAAATCAAAAATTACAATATCCCGCCGGCAGGCATTGAATTTTGTATGTCCACCGGCAGGGGAAGAAGCGTGTTTGAGGTCTCAAGAATTCAAAACTTGCTCTGATACCATGAAGAAATTGATAAGAGAGAAAATATTCTGTATATTGAATTGGCTTGTGAATACAAAGGTCTAACCCCCTTTATATAGGAAGAGAGTAAAGCATTTAAGTAAACTTTTATTCCTACCATATTTCTATTCCTACTATAACAAGAACTAAGCAAACTAGGAAAGATACTAAACCGAATCCCAAAGGGATTCAGTTTTCTTCTTTGATCCGGCTTCCTTCTTCTGTCGCCAACACAATCGATTAGTTAGTTCAACTCAAGAGCTTATATATTGATTATTTTCCTGACACTTTTCCGATGTGAGATACTCTTAACACTCCCCCTCAAGTGGACAACCGGACCATTTTGAATCTAACCGGTCGACCACTTGCAAATGAACTCACATTCCCTTGACTTTTTTTTGAGCGCCAACACCTAAAGGACCACGAGCCGCTGGATATGGACTTCCAGACGAGCAATCGTGTTAAACGAGCCACAGGCCATTGAGTACATACTTCATACGGAGAATTGGGCTAAAGACAAATGGGCCCACTTGCAAATGATGATTAACTTTATTAGACAAAATTATTATTTTTCTTAGGCAAAACTTATAAAGTGAATACGGATTAAATGGAAAGCGACGGAGAAATCAATTTGAAGATGGTTGCATGACTGTGGTGGAGCTGGCGTTAAAAATATATTTTTAAGTAACAAACGTAAAACAAATCATCAGATCGGAGTAGCGCAGCGGAAGCGTGGTGGGCCCATAACCCACAGGTCCCAGGATCGAAACCTGGCTCCGATATTCTTTTATGTTTTTTCCACTCGTTTTTTCTCTTTCTGACGATTGCATGACAACTGACAAGTACTGCATGAACTTGATTTCCAAGCCTGAATTTAGATTCCTCTATTCAGTTTGCATCACTTTGATTTTAAAAATAATACTTCGTCTGTTACTATTATATTTTGATTACAAATTGAGAACTATAAGTAAAGTTCTCTGATTTTTGAAATAATTTTATTCATAAATTAGTACATTAATAAAGATAAAAAGTTACTTATTAAAAAGCTATATACAAAATTATGCAAAACAAGTGGTAATAAAAATATCTTATTTTATTAAATAATCAATGAAAACACAAAAATAAACAAAAAATATCAAGAGGAGAGAGAAAATAAAATTATTATCAAAATGGAGACGGAAGGAGTACATCATGCAATTTTTATTTAATTAATTGTCAAATAAACTTGAATTGTAAAAATTCAAAATTAAGCAATTTTTTTCTTTATACCCCCAAAGGCCCAAACCAATAAGAGGGTCAAGAGAGGTGCATTCATGTACAAATTTCATTTTTTTGGGTTTGGAGTATTTCCATCATTTCTGATGGAGCAAAAAATTCACTATTTTTTAGCTTTGGTGTGTAATGGAATAAAGCAAAATAGATCTTTAAACTGTTTGTGCTTCTTTAATTAATGAAGTAGCAGTTAGTTAATCAATGCGACTTTCGATGTTGAGCTGGAAGTCTCTTTATAAACAGCCTTTTTACTTTCGAATAGGGGTATGTCTGCGTACACACACCCTTCCCAAACCCTGCTCTTGTGAGATTCAATTGGGTTGTTATTGTATTGTTGTTTTTGGGTTTGGAGGAAAGTAAAATTGTAAAAGCATTTGCAATCATTTTCATGAAACTAAGATATCCGCAAAATATCACAAGGATATCTG